GAGAGAGAGAGAGAGAGAGAGAGAGAGAGAGAGAGAGAGAGAGAGAGAGAGAGAGAGAGAGAGAGAGAGAGAGAGAGAGAGAGAGAGAAGAGAGGGAAAGGGAGAGGGTGGTGCATGTGCGCATTCACACTGTTGGAGTTTTGAGTTGCGAATAAAATAGTGGTCCTGGTTTTGCTTTTTGCTTTCAAGTAGAAAGGATAAAGAGGGGATTTGTGTTCCATTTGAGAAAAGGCCTTGTTACTCTCAAAGGTACTACATCTCTCACAAATTTCTTCCTCTTTATGAAGTTTTTTTATTATGTACTTCTCATGTGCTCTTCTTCAGTGGTTTGTGCATTTTCTTCAGGGAATTCATTCATAGGCATTGAAATTTTGTGAACCCATGAGCTCTGAAGTCATTTTTCAGGGTTTTCTCTACCTATTTTTGTCTTTGCATTTTATGGATTTTGAAGCTTGAAAGTATCCACTGATGCATTTGAAAATATGTTATAGAAATGGGTGATTTTGATGTTATTTTTTCTGGATCTGAAAGAATACCATAGAAGCATGTGAATTCTATATGCCTTAAATTTTCATTCAAACAATCCAATGACTGGGTTACTTTCAGGTCCACACTAGAGAGACAGAGCAGAAAAATTTTGCTGTTTTCATTTCCATGGATATATATATCATCCATGGAATCATTTAGGAGTTGCTCTCTGCAATTTTTTCCAACTAATCTGAATGAGTTTTCGTGAACCAGGTTCTAGAAGGAGAGAGAGAAAGAGCTTAATTTCAATGGAAATCTCTACAGCCAAATGGTTCTCCTCACATGTATATACCCATTTACCATTAACTATAGCTTCTCTACTTGCTCAACAATAGAATTCTCTCTCTCTCCCTCTCTCTCTCTCTCTCTCTCAAGTTGCCATAAATTTTCAGGCAATGGAGGACGCCTCCATCGTTCAGGACTACGAAACGAGCTGCCTTGACGACCTTACCATGGAGCACATCGGCGCCGCTCTCTCTCAGGACCTTCACCACTCTGATCCATATTCTTACATCAACAACAATAACACTCCCTTCTTCCACGATCAAAGACCCACAAAGCGGTGCAATTTTGGTTCCAATTCCTTTCTCTCTTTCTACTCTCAAGACCCACAAATCAACAGCAACCATAACTCAAGTTTCATAACCTTGAAGCCAAAAAATGAAATAAAAGACTCAAACTCCCCTAAAACTCCTTCATTTAATGGAGAAACCATGTCTTCTACACTCAATGGGAACCGCGTATCTCAGAATCCAACGGCTAAGTCGTCATCTCACACTCAAGATCACATAATTGCAGAGAGGAAGAGGAGAGAGAAGCTGAGCCAGAGGTTCATTGCCCTTTCAGCCATTGTTCCTGGCCTGAAAAAGGTATGACGGTTTGCCCCTTGTTTTCCCAGGAAATTACGGTTAAGACCTTCGTGAATAGGGCCGCAATGGGCCTGGTAATACGGTCCAAACCAGCGTTAAAAAAGTAGAGCATGGGCCACAAACCGTGTATCGAGGGCTGACATTTAAGTATGACATGGGCCACAAACTATAAGTATGACATGGGCCACAAACTATGTGCCAAGGGCTGGCTTGCTGCATAGGGCTGGCATTTCAGGGCATGAGCCAACTAGGTGCCCAAGGCTGGTTCAGGACCAATGCGCCAGGTTATGTGCAGTTGAACCTTTTTTTATAATTTTTTAATTTTATAATTTTTTTATTTTTCCAATTTTTTTGGTCAGTCCAGACCTATTTTTTATTATTTTTTTAATTTTTTTTTTGCTCGTCCCAAACCTAATTGGGCTAAGTCCAAGCTTGGGTCAAACCTAAAAGGGCTAGGTCCTAGCCAGGGCCAGCCCATGTCGACTAGGGCCCGGCCCATGACCGACCAACTGCCACATTATTCTTGAATTTTGTGTGGGAAGTTGACCGAAGGCTAGGGATACTATTAATTATTAAAAAAGGGATTTGGTACTATTACGCATTTGTCTTTTATGAGCTGTATTTCCAAGATCCAATGTCATCCAGAGACACCTGGCCTTCTCTTAAATAGAGAGCAAATTTTCCCAACAAACGCGGAGTGGAAAAAATAAAAAAAAATTCGGAAGGGTTGCTTTAAAAGTTTAAAAAGAATAGTGACAAGGATCTTTGAAAATTGAAATGGACTTTTGTGGGTTTTCAAACCCTCATTTTCACTAACCCAAAAAAAAATCAAATTTCAATTTCACCCAATTAAAGCACGTGGTTAAGGGATGGTTATGTTGTAATTAAAATAAAACAAAAGATTTTTACCTTTTCTTATTAATATTTATAGGGAAGCCGTTTATCCTTCCCTTACACCATACAAGTTATATCCTCCCTCTTATCCAAACTTAAGTTATATCTTCCCTCTTATCCAAACCTCTATTCTGAATGGAGGCTTAAGATTGTCCCAATCAAAATGTCTCGTCTTTATACTATTTTATTTTAAATTATTTTTTCTATAAATTATTTTGACACCAAATTTTGGGTGACCATTCATCTATTAAACTCTCACTGGCGAAAAATATAAAAAAATATTTTCAATAAGTATTTTGGTTATTATATTTTATCAAAAAATTACTTTTAATATTTTTATAGATGTGCCCCAATGCGAAGATGGTACATACCAAATTTCATATTTATACAATTTGTATAAAAAACACTAAAAATAAAATACTTTGACATGTCGGATCAAGATCAAACGGTGAGTGGCTCTCTTGATCAAAATTGGACGGCTGGATGGTAGGGGGATGATAAAACTTCTATGCTGTTCTATGTTGTAGGAAAAGCATAGAAACCTTTCCCATTATTTATTATCAAATTTCGTTTTTCTCTCAAACTCTAATTTATAAACAATTTCTCACTAGGCTTGGCAATAGGCTATGCTGCCCGGCCTTAAAAAAGTAGGGACTAGGCCACAAACCCTAGCCTGAGGATCGGGCTAGGACCAGTGCCAGCCCAATTCAGCTCGGCCAAGCCCTCTTTTTTCTTGATTTTTCTTTTACTTTGACCGCATTTGTTTTTGGCCTGACAAGGACTCCGGGGCACATTTGTGAAAGCACTTCTTGGGAGCGCAAGGAAGCCATTATTCCCCTGCAGGACTTTCCCATCACTTGCTTTCACAGCTAAATAGATGGAAAGCTGCTTTCTCACATTTTAATGTTAAAAGGCTGAGAAGACGCTTTCTTGTCTGCCACAATAACTTTGCATTCCGAGAAACAAACATGGAAAAGCATTAGTCCACCGATAAGAACTTTCTCAACAAATGTGCCCTTAATTATTTTTTACTTTTGTCAAAATTTAAATTCTAAACTAACCCAATTTCCTTAAATCAAATGAAAATATCAGATGGACAAGGCCTCAGTCTTAGGAGATGCCATCAAATACGTGACACAATTACAAGAGAGAGTGAAGAACCTGGAGGAAGAGACCGCAAAGAAGACAGTTGAGTCTGCAGTACTAGTAAACAAGTCCCATGTTTACTTAGATGACTCCTCTTCCTCTTCCTCCTCCACTTCATCTTCCTCATCTTTATCTGAAGACGATAATTCCGGCAATGGAGTTTCATTGCCTGAAATCGAGGCAAGAGTTGCAGACAAGAGTGTGCTCATCAGGATCCATTGCGAGAAGCGTAAGGGTATCTTAGCTAAAGCCATCGCTGAGGTCGAGAAGTTCCACCTATATGTTCTCAATGCAAGTTTCATGTCCTTTGCCTCCTGTGCCCTAGACCTTACTTTGGTCGCACAGGTATGTTTTCTTTCTTTCCACATCTCCTTTGAGGTTTTTAATGATATAGAAGTGGCAATATGCCATGGAGATCTTGTTAGATACTGACCTTTTGCATAATGCATTAAGGAATTATACCTAGGAATAAAATAGGTTGAAGAATTCATGGGGATGTATTCTTGTTAATGCATTATTCATAGTTTGCATAATACATGAATGCATGAGCTAATATTCTTGTTAATGCATTATTCATAGTTTACATAATACATGAATGCATGCCTTAGGTCAAAGGGATACCTCGTTTTTATAAAGGGTTTTACTCATCTTTTAACCTATACATTATAAGGGTACTTTTTTTTTACCCTAAATATCATCAACTCATAGTTATCTTTCTCTCTTTTTGGCCATATAATTGAATAACCATATTGAGAGTGGGGGTGTGGCTGAAGTACACTGTACCTTAGCTACAACATTGGTCATTGACTCTCTTTTTTCTCTCTGTATAGTACATTTATACTTAGAAATGAATACAATGGAGTTCTAGAAAAAGGCACATTTACCCCAGAGCTTAAGGTTGGACAAACTCTAGATTTTCCCTTTATGTTGTGATTGTTTTGGCAATAGACGTGGTCGACTGCTTGGGCCAGCCAACCCGGACACACCTGTCACTCGGGCTTGCCACCCTAGCGAGCCCGAGTATTCTGAGTTTAGTGGTCAAGCTTAGGATCTTAAAAAAAATAAAAAATAAAATTATAAAAATCCATGTTCATCATCATTTTGGTAAAGATAAGGAAGTGTTTTGGCCATGAATACTTATTTTTACGTTTTCCCTTTTTGGATTATTTCTAAAATACCTCCATCAAATATTAGTGTTATTTTCAAAATCCGTTTTTCACTACTTTTTAAATGTGTTTTGTTTAATTTTGCTATAAATTTTTTTCATATTTTTTGATATATTTTTTTAACACTTTTTGCCCTAGCCAAGACCCAACTTGGGCTGCGTTACTTGGACTTGACCCAAGTTACTCAGCCCGGCCGGGTTTTGGGGCGGAGTTGTACTTTCCTACACTGTGACTAACTCTAATTCTTATGCTGGATTCCAGATGGAGGAGGAGTACTCCATGACAGCCAAGGACCTGGTGAAAGCCTTGCGTTTGGCTTTGAATGAGCCAATGTGAGGGTTATAGCTTCAAAAATAAGGGAAATAAAGGTGGTTGAATCCCCTGAGTTAGTTACTACAGTCTATGACGTTTCCTCTCTGTTTTGTGTCTCTAAAGCAAGGCCTTCTGTGGCGTTCCCTTGTCTTTCAACCTTGTGTTTGCTGTGAGGTTTTTTTCATTTCATGGGGAACCTCCTTTTTTGCATGGCTCTAATAGGCCGTGTTTCAATCTCTTTTTGAGATGGAAACCTGCAGCTTCATTCAGGGGCTTTTTTAGGGTTAGAGTTTTCGAGACCCTTTTGATTTGTCACTCCCCCTTTGTTGTTGTTTTAGATGGTGGTTTTTGCTGGACTGGCCTTGCTTTTTGAGTTTGGTTTTTGGCCTTGATTATATCAGGCCTTTTGGAATGAATTGTGTCTCTTTAATTTTGGTTCTCTCTCTCTCTCTCCCTCTCTCTCTTTCGTTTTACATTGGTTTTCACCTAGTTACATTTAGATCCACGAATATTTGATTTTTTTACCTTACATTACCATGTGAAATCTTTTGTTTTCCTCAAATCTTTGAGGTCATATTCTTGATGCACCATGTTGCGGGCTAAAAGATTCTACATCCAACTCCAAAATCCCAAGATGGTAATGTATTCAATAGAAAATGCATATCATCATTTAGCATTAGATTTGATTTAGAGTAAGATGAATTTCCATTTTGAGGGGGTCAATGTATCATAATTAGAGATGGGTTTTCCCCAAACACATGCCTAAATATGTTTAATAAAATCCAATCTATTAAATCTTTCTCTGTACCCCAAAAGCCTTTTCGTTGAATAAAATAAAATTTTGTTTTGGTTTGGTTTAGATTCGCAGATAAAGGTAAGTTTTTCATCAAGAATAAATATTATAAAATGGAAGGGAGGATAATCTTAGATTTTTTTGCCTTGAATAATTTCTTTTGAAAAGAAACACATGATCTTCATTAATAAATGATGTTCATAAATATATAGAAAAAGCAAGAGAACAAATTACAAAACACCTTTAGAGATAAGCAAATGAAAACGTCCGACTCCCGCCTTTTAGCAATTGCATCCACCACACTATTTAAAAATTTGGAGTTTCGCCCGTATCAGGACCGCAGACCCCGTTGTCCCCTTTCTTTCTCTTCAGGATTGACCAAGCCCTAGCATAGTTGAATTGGTTTTCTTAGATTTCTACGTTAGGATTTTCCTGGTTCTAATATTTGGAGGCTGAAACTCTCCTAAAAGCTCTAAGTATCTCACTTCACTCATTAATGCCTAAACTAAGTGGAAGCCTAAGTGACTTTTAGTGACCAACACTCAAGAAGGTCTTTTTATAGACCTCTGAGTGGTTGGAAAGTGGTTCGCAATGCTTATCCAGTTGGTTGAACTCAAAATTTGAAATTTTGGCGGTCAACATAATAGATGACACGAGACGTGTCATTTGGGTCATCGGAGTTCAGACGAAACGTACTGTGTCTGCTAGGCTCAATGTCAACCAGACAAAATAGACTGGCACCAAATGGCCCAGATGACACAATATGTGTCATCTGGGTTACCATTGTCCAAGTGACACATACTATGTCGTCTAGGCTCAGTGTCGACCAGACAAAAAAGATTGGCACCAAATGGCTATGACGACACCATATGTGTCGTTTGTATTATCAAGGTCCAGACGACATGTACTATCGTCCAAGCTCAATTTCAACCAGACAATAGACTGGCACCAAATGGCCCAGATGACACAATTTGTGTCGTCCAAGCTCAATGTCGACCAAACAGAATAGACTGGCACTAAATGGCCAAGATGACACAATATGTGTCGTCCAAGCTCAGTGTCGACCAGACACAATAGACTGGCACCAAATGGCCTAGACAATACCACGTGTCGTCTGGATCATCAAGGTCTAGACAACACGTACTGTGTTGTCTAGGCTCAATGTTGACTAGACACAAAAACACTAGCACCAAATGGCCTAGATGACACAATACGTGACGTTTTGTCAAGTTTGCTCAAACAACAAGAATCATGTTGTTTTGGTCAAAGATTGCCAAAATCGCGGTATTTTTATGATTGTTATCCCTCATGTGTTTTTGGCCGTTTATTATCTCATTGTCGAATTTAAATGCGATCTCTATCTCGTATTTATATTATTTTCAAATTTAAATGAGGGTTTAAAGGGATAATGGATCATGAAATGAGGACTATGGAACATTGTGTCATATGATTTAAGGTACTCTAGGATAGTGTGGTCCTAAGGGTTTTCAAAATGTTTCTAAGGTCAAAAATAATAGAAATTTACCAAATTCAAAATTGGATGTATACGGTGCGCCTCTTTGGAATCCCATGTCCTTTGAGGAACATGTAAGTGGCAAAGAATTAGACACTGCAATATTTTTTATATTTCCTAATATCACGTGGTCAGAGGGCGCACTAGCTTTTCCACCCAAGATATTGTGCTTCCCCGTTCACCCACCTATAGTATTTTTATTCTAGGGCTTTTCGGCATGAGTAGTTCCAGAGATTTTTGCCAGTCCGAACTTCGAGCTGGATTATTTTAACTTCAGGGGTTATGAACTTGCATTTCCTATTTGTAAACTTATCATTTCTCCTTGAGTTTCCTCCAAGGTTTTCTAGGGATTAAATAGGCTTTACTTGCTGGGAAAGTTTGCCTAAAAGATTTCTTTGGTAGATTCCGAATAGAATAGATGAGGCAGCAACGTGATAGCATCATTTACGAGCGTCCTGCTCCCTTGTTTTAGAAAATGTTTTTTAAAAATTATAATATATAGAGATTTTTTTTCAAAACAAAGCTAGGAGCTTGGACGGGGGTGCGATTAAAAAAAATTTAAGATTTTCAAAAACACCAATTACATAATTTTAAAAAAAAAATTTTAGTTAGCAGTTTTAGCTCATGCAATCATGGAACCCTTTAAGTAGAACGTCATGCAATGATGGACGTAATGAACCGAACAGTTTAACGTCATGTGGTGGCAGACGCTTTTTTAAAACACTCGACCATTTTATGTCGAACGGGGATAGAAAAAAAAAATTTATTACTATTTTCTGAAATGATTTTTCTATTGAAGCTAGTTAGCAATTAGGCTTGTGCCCCAAGCAGCATTTTCTAAAAAAGAGTATAGAGAAGTACTTAAAACGAAAGGTTTTGAAAAGAAATATTCAAGAATTCTAAAAAATATGTGGGTCTTACAGTTTAAACACTTGTGACACATTTAGTGGACCCTATATGAGCTTGCTGAGTCCTTGCTAGGATCTTCAGTACGATGAATCATCAAGTATTCTTTCATCTTCCAATTGCCGCTCTTGTATTTCAATTCAAAGGAAAGCTCTCGAATGTTTTCGAGCAAACCAGATTCTTGGATAATACAAGATATTACCCCTGAATGCTCGGAATCTCCTTGGATTTTCAATTTCCCTCCTCCACCACCTATCCTTTGAAGTCCAAATGATCGAGGTCCTTAACTGTAATTCATCTGGTTGATCCTCATTGACTTCGCCTTTGGCACCATTCTAACTTAACAAGATAAAATAGAAAATGATTAGCGAGAAAATATATGAGAGAAGAGATGGAAAAGAAACTTCTTTTATTCCATCACCCTGGGGCCCATTCCGATGTTCAGCCCCGTGGCTTTTTTTTCAACACTCTGGGTTCTTTTCAGATTTTCAACCCTACAGATTTTTATTTTTTTTATTTATTCCTTTTTCAATTTTGTTCTTTGCTTTCTTTTTTTTCTTTTCTATTTCTTTTCTTCTGTTTTTCTTTTCTCTCCCCTTCCTTTTTCTTTTTAAGAGAAAGAAGAAGAAGAAAATGACAAAGGAGGAGGACAATAAGAAGTGTTTGTGGTGCTCTTTTTTTCATTTTTTTGTGATACTTCGCTCTAGAACTAGATAAGGACTCAACCATTCTTTTATTCTCTAAGTGGCAGGGAGATTCATATTTTGTTTACCCTTGGATTTCCCTCGCCCCAAGATTGGTATTTAATATCTTTGACAGTGGTTGTCGAATTCCCATTGAACTTTTCCATTAAAATGTCCCACTTAAACCTTGATTTTTGAATTTAGGATCACCCTCAGTTTCCTAGTTTCTCAATCTTTTGCCTAAGCTCATTAAGTTGTCATCGTAAGTTGTCATCGTAAGTGGGATGATTTTGTTTTTCATTGCGCGTTAATGCCTCTTGGAGTATGAGGCATGAAGGCCCCAATTGGCTATTGAAAAGGTCCGATTGTCTTTTTCATTTAAAATTTTTGTAGTAGGCTCGTTCTCAGTACTTGAATCCAAGTGATATTCTCGCACAAAAAAAGTGACTAGATTAGCATTGGATGGCCTTACGGCAGGTTGGGAGTTAATAAATAGGAGCTCAATTTCATCAACTGCCCTTGCTATATTTCCAATATCTGATGAGGGCACCCCCATTGAGTGATTTGATGGGACTACCCTTGCAAAGTCTTGCGCATTAACAGTGGCTTGTTCTTCATTAAATGAAGTCTCTTGATCTAGGGGTGCTCCAATAATTGGGTTTGTACCCCTGTCGTTAACAACTTCTAGAGACCCTCACTCTTGAGGAGGTAATATGGTTTGATTTGCAATATCTAGCTCTTCGTCCCGAATGGGTGAATCATCCAAGAAATCTTGTGAAGCTGGTTAGAGAGGTCTCTTTAGAACTCTTAGAAGGTCATCTTTCCTTAGTGGTTTTGGTTCTCGGGTGATAAGTTTTCTTCAAAAATATGTTCTTTTGTTTCATCTGGAATAATTATCCTCGAACCACCCTTGTCGCCTTGATTCTAGGAATCACTAGGTTTTTAGCCTTGGTGGAGCTTATGCTCGGGTTCATCTTAGATCCCTTGTGAGTTTAATTCATCATCCTACATGTTTGGGTCATCTTCTATCGCAATCACTTAGAAGAACTAGTTAAAGGGGTCATCTGCCTCGGTTCAATTGTCGATGATTAGGACAACTTTGCGGACATGCATTTTCAACTGTAATTGAAATTATAAGAGTCGATTTGCTCTTCCATTTTCTCCTGGTCTACAGGATTTGGGCTAGAGTTATCGTCATTATTGTGGTTTTTGGGATCCTTTTCCACAGAGTTCTAAGTCAGAAATATGCTCATGTTGTCCTTCATCTGATGAATTTCCTAGTGCTCCAAGGCCATTGTAGATGTTCTCCTGGATTAAGCATAGTTTCTGATTTGCTTAAGTTAATTAAATCAACGTTGACCTTTGTTATCGAGGTATCTGAAGGTGTTTGTTCTCCGTCATTATCAACATCTCTTTTTAGGAAGCATATTGTGCCATTATTAATGAGATATTGAACTCTATGCATGAAAGCTCGACATTCCTCAATGTCGTGGGCATAGTTTTGATGTCACTCGCACCATTAAATGTATCTCTAATGTAAAGTGGAGGAATTCTGACTTAAGGCAATTCCACGAGGTTTACCTTGAGCTGCTTCTTGAGAACATCGGTCATTGGCTCGTCTATGGGAGTGAATTCCCTTGGTATGGAAGTTTGCATCCCCCATGTGATTGAGTAAGTTTTTGTCTCTTCTTGTGATTGGTTGTAGAAAGATCATTTTTCTCTATCAAGTTTACCTCCTCATTAACTAAAACCGCATCATCATCTCCTTCTTGAGAGGGTTCTTCAAGAGTGAATCCCCATTCCCATCTCTTTCTTGTGGAGGATCAGCTATGATTGGGTTGTTAAACACTCTAGCTTCAATCTTCTTGGCTCGCTTATATCATGAGAGTCTCTCAAGCATAGCATAAAGCGAGTAAGGTATTGCCAAGAATGAGCCATACTTTAAAGTCATGTTTTCCAATGCTATGCTGACTTTTATCGCTTCATGAAAAACTCTAATGACATGTATAGCAACCTCTTTGAATTTTATTCTAAAATCAACGGGAGACTAGCCCAGCTTTGTTTGACGGATGTTAGCTCACCAAAGATAATGTGTATCGACCTTATCCCATAGTAGCAAACGAAAATTGCCTAAACATTTCGTCAAGAGTCGCTTGAAAGTTATCCTTCATAAATTTTTAATACCACATCAATGAATCTCCTAATAAGCTATGCAAAAACATGACTTTAAGTTGGTTGGATAGATCTCGTAATGTAAAGACCATTAACAGGTAGATATAATTTATCATGGCACTTTGTGTACCGTGATATATCTAAAGTTAATTACAACATTTTAAGTGCAATGATGCCTCAATCACTTGTTATACCGTGCTGCCTTCACGGTAATACGACTACCATAAAAAAAAAATCCTAAAAGCAAAAAAGATAATATAGATGAGGTTTTTTAAAGTATAAGTTTTTTTAAGTAGATACCAAAATTAAGATATATTTCTGATAATTTTCCTATATTTAAAAAATTAATCATTGGTACTTCGCTATTGCATTCATGTTTTCAGACAATGCATAATCCGGATCTTAACATAAGATCCGGAAAATGAAATCACCACCTTGCTTTTGGTTTATTAGGTACCATGTCAATATTTTTCTTTCCATAACCAGAAAGTAAAATTTCCTACAAATAATAAAGGAAAAATCCAACGGTAGAAGGCTGTCAAGAGTTGTATGAGAGGAACAGTTACAGAATAGGAACATCTTCTCCTGAGACATAGGCTTAATGCAGCATTTTCTATATTTCATTTTTGTATACAAAATAAGCAATACAAAGATTCATTCTTACCTTGTTATTCCATTTATCATACATCGTTACTCCATCTGTACAATTTCCCTTCTGATACAAAAAGACTCCTTTTCTTTCCCACTCTCTTCCTGCAGAACCCATTAAAATCCGACAAAGTGAAAGGGCTAGATACTCTCTTCCTGCAAAACCCATTAAAACCTCACAAAGTGAAGGGGCTGGATGGTGGGTGGATTATAGGCAGCTTTGACATGCTGACATTCCCAATTCTAACCCATGAAGCAACAGTATCCTCGAGCAGAACTGGCTGCACAGGCGTAACCCTTTCGGGAACAATGCTCTCTCCTTCTAACCTAGCCAACACTTCAAATTCAAGCTTCAGTGAAGAAGGCTTGGTCCTCCACTCTGGTAAGAACCCAATCTCCTCCCCCTCTCCCAAAGCCTTCTCCATCTTCAACCCTACCTTAACAAAGGTCTCAGCTGAAGCCTTGGCCTCCAGCAACTTGAATGACCCTTCCTCCCTTGCCTTCTCTCCAAGCACCCCAAAGAGCAGATGCTCGAACCCTTTGAGTTTTGGGTCCGACCCATTAACTGATGTCAAAGGCCACATTTCCTTATAACTTGAAATCTTGTCTTGTGAAGACAAGGATCCGAGAGAGGCCCCACTTTCTACAAGTGGGTAATTTGATTCTTGGGGTCGAGAAATCAATTCAATGGCCCCTGGTGCCAATTTTTTAACTCTGAGCTTGGATTGGGTGTGGGGATGGAGGCTTGAGGGCGATGTAAGGGAGGTTGGGCCAACAATTCTCAAGGAGACGAGGGGTTGGTCTTTGGTTTGAGAGGCTTCTTTGAGGAGGTTGGCTAGGGAGAGAAGGGCGGATGCCTGGCCTTTATGGGTGGTGGATCGACTCAGGGGTAAAGGGAACTGGAGAGGCTGCCTTAGGCTAACTGCTCTTGCTCCTTGCACTGTGACGACTGCCCCATCGGCTAAATTTACTTTCTTCAAAACCCCAGCTTCCACATCGTGCTGCCATAACAAATCAATGGAAATCACTATAGCATGAATTAAAAAAAATGGATTTTCCTTTTCCATGGGTTTGAGATATAAGACAGTGGTATTTTCCTGGTAAAAAACCTCTTATAAGTTTCTGGGAATCCTTTTTGAAATAGTTTTGATGTTCTTGAAATAGTTTAGGTGTTTCTCAGATTGAAAACAAATGGATGGAATAGATGTTCAGAAAATAATTTCATATACAATCCATAAAATTATCAAACCATAGGTATTTAACTTATCACCAATTATGGAAACTATGCCACTCTATAAAAAAGTTTAATTCAACCAGCCATTTCAGAGATCCAAATCCAACTTCTTGGATTACTCTATATTTGTATTTTTTATAATGAAAGTAATGATCGTAGCACAGTTAAGAACCACTTTTTCAACATCCTTCTATCAAATTCTTGACAACTAGAATTCTAATAAAACTGTCAAGCTGTGTTTCAAGACTCGGCCTCACCCTATGGGCGAGGTATGTTTAGGCCAAGTACACTGTACACACATTTTTAATAATTATATAATAAGGTGCCGAATCTTTCTTAGAAAGTTTGAATAGCATAGTGTGTAGTGTGCACACTCACGGTCCATCGTGGGGGGGGTCGGCCGGGGGGGGGGGGGGGGGGGTCCGGGGGGGGGTACCCGGAACTA